GGGCCCCGCCGCTCTCTGGAGGCTGTCTCAGGTAATGCCTGTGCAAATCCAACAATTTGCGCTCCCGTTTTTCAACTGAACGCAAGAAAAATGCCACCCTATGGATCATTTAATATATATATATTGCGGTGCTAATTAAAAATCTTGGAAACTAGACATAATTGGGTGGGATTTTCTCTATTCTGACAGGCAACAGTACGGACAGACCCCGGAGGCCCGGAAACTCGCCAAGCCCTAAGGAAGTTGCCGAGTTGGGTGGGCGGGGCACTTGGAAGGCAATTAGGGAGGAGGGAAGGGCTTCCAGGTAGAGAATCCTGCCCTGGGGTGTTGAAAAGCGAGTTAACCTGGTGCGAGGCCTTCGGGAAAGAAGAAGGTGCAGATAGTCATGGCAAGGTCTGTTAACAGGCCAGTTTTTACTTCATTCTTTAACCTTGAAACTCTACGGATTGTATACCCTTGTTTTGTTTTCTTTGGGCGCAACAGAAGACTTACAGGTAGACGTTGTTTGAGCCCTCAGAACTAGCCACTGCCCGACGCTGCACTCTGCCTATTGCTAGCACGAGCAGATTTCCTCCTTAGATCAAGCCTGGGTGAGAATAACGTCAAACAATGGTGTCAGGAATTAATCCCGGGAGTCTGTAAATACTACTTTATGTGGTACCAGCGTCCGTGTGGAGTAAGTCAAGGGTTTTTGAGATGGAGCTTAGCCGGGGTTATTAAGGTGGACCCTAAATACAAATACGTGTAGCCTTGATCAGTGGAAAGCAGTGGTTGGAGTAAGGTCACTACAAAAACAACAACAAAAAAGTCAGTGGCGGTCAGAAACTGGAAGAGACAAGAAAAGAGGATTCTCCCCTAGCCTATGGAGCAGCCCCCAAAACACTTGGATATGGCCCATTGAAACTGCTTTTGGGTTTCTTGGCCTCTTCCAGAACTGAAATAACAACAGATTCCTGTCTCACTTTATTTATTATTGTTTTCGTTTTGAGATAGAGTCTCAACTCCGTAGCTCAAACCAGCCTGGAACTCATCCTCTAGCCCTGGCTGACCTGAAATTTTCAGTTTCTCCTGCTTCAAGCCTGTCTTGAGACGACAGTATGAGTCACCTCGCCAGGCTCAAGTTTCTGTTAGAAATCAAAAGTTTGTGTCGGTTTATTTCAACAGCCGTGAAAAAGCAAATACGCCTAAGCAAAGTACTAATAGTAGCCCCCCCTTTAAGAGATAAACGGGCATGGACTGTGGGCCTCACCCAACCTGTAAGGCCGAGCAGAGACATTGATTGCTTCTTCTGGGGAACTCTGCCCTTTCTCATGTAGCAAGGGCCTCTGGTGCCCATCACTTGAGGAAGCAGAAGCAGGGCCCAGATTTACGTCACCTTGACTCTTATTTTTAAAGAGTTTTTCACTGTTAATTTCCACTTACAGCAAGTCCCATGTGTAGCTTTCTGCCCCCAAATTACTGCAGTTGAATGCTCTTTGAGGCACTCACTGCAGAATTTTGCATGGCCATAACCTCAGCTTTCTTATCTTTAAAATAGAGATGGTTATATGTATCTCAGAAAATGAATGTGAGGGTTAGAAATTATTCTCTTCATTAACTGGCACAGACCTTATGTCATTGATCCTGTAAATAGGGCATCTATCATCATAGGCTCATCAACTGCCTCTTCTCAGAACGTCCATGTCACATTGTTTCTATCCGTCATGTCTCCCCAATAATACATCACGCTTTTTCTCATTACATACAGTCACTTTGCGACTAAAAAGGCTGTTAGAAGACTGTAGAGGAGTAAACAAAACCAGGACATGAATGCTCATCACAAATGACAAATGATAGAAAAGATAATTAAAAAAAAATACTGAAGTAGTACACCACAAAATACAAATAACTGTCATTGTTTAGTCTAAGTTTAGGGCCAACTTGAAAGCTGCGATGGTGTTTACAGTACCAGGAAGTGAAAGCACTAACCTAAAGATCATAATTTCAGGCATATATACATGGTGGAACTATAAGATAAAATAAAAGCCTATAGCAACAAGTGCAAACCAGTGAGTTCTGAGTGTGATTGAAAAGAGTGAAGCCTGGGAAGGTGAGTATTAGTGTTCCCTACAGAGAAACAGCATGAGCAGACAGAGAGGCAGGAAAGACAGATAGTAAAGAAAATCAGGAGGCTAAGAAATTCTACAATCTGTTGTCTACAGACTGGACACCCAGAAAAGTCAATAAACTGGCTTGAAGGTCTGGAAGCAAAGAACCTCTCTGAGGGTCTGAAGACCTCATCCCAGGAATCCTGAGGTTGGAAAAGACCATTGTGTGAGCTCAGTCTCTAAGAGATTGATTTCCCACTCCCTCTACCTTGCTGAGTGAATGGTGCCCGCTTATGTTAGATGGAGTATCTTTCTCACTTAGTTCACCACCTCAAACGCTTATGTCAGAAGCACACAACTAAGTATTTGACCAGTTATCTAGGGATCTTTGAACTCGGGCATGTGACATATAGTTGACCCTTGGGCTGGAGAGATGGCTCAGCTGTTAAAGGCTAGGCTCACAACCAAAACTAACCTCACAAATTCATTAGAGGCTTAAAAGCATTGCTTTGTTTTTCCTGATTATGTTATCATAGGTCTACTTTAAGAAATTATAGGTGGATATGGGAAACAAAGGTTGTAAATAATGCTATTTGTTGAGGAATAACCCTTGATATTTTGCTTTTAAGATTTTCCTACAAAAGGTTATTTATAAAGTTTTGGCCCAATTTAAATCAATTTTTCTATCAATTCTGGATTTTAGGTTGTATTTCTAACAGTCTTCCTCCATATAATTTTTTTCAGCACCTTTTCCTCTTTGAGTACATCAGAATTCTTTTCCATTGAAATCTCAGATCTTTTTTGAAATTTGTTTTGGTTTTTGGAGTCAATGAACAAGCCAGTTTTCTTTTCTTTTCAAACAGAAATGCCAATACCACTTATTAAAAAGCTTCTTTTCCCCCTCCAGTTTGTAATATTGTATATTAAATTTCCACATACATTTGGATCTACTGCCAAAGTGTCTGTTTCAATGCCAGTACCAAGCTATTTTAATGAGTATGGTCTCATTTTCCAAATCCCTCCTGGAAACCAATTCCAAAGGCCCAGGAACCACATTGTCATTTAGTTACACCAATGACCCTACTTCTCTAGTTACTTTTCACATTGCTGTGACCAAAAATACCCAACAGAAACAATTCAAGGGAGAAAGATTTAGTTTTGGCATGCTTTCAGAGGGTTCAGTCCGTCATGGTGGGCAAGGCATGGAGAGGCGGATCAGCTCACATCATGGAGAGCCAAGAAGCAGGGAGGGAAATGGGGGTGCTCTTAGCTTTCTCCCTTCATTCTTTCCCTCTAGCCAATAGAATGGTGCCACACATACACAAAACAGACCTTTCCCTCTCTGAAATCGGCCTTCACAAGTACAGCCAGAGATGTGCCTCACCGTCTCCTAGTCACACTGGCAATGATAGTAACGTTCATAAGTATGCTTCTCTTTCAGGTGAAATTCCACTCTTGGAATTATTCTAAAGAAACAAACTGGCTGGGCAGTGGTGGTGCACGCCTTCAGTCCCAGCACTTGGGAAGCAAAGGCAGGAGATCTCAGTGAATTTGAGGCCAGCCTGGTCTACAGAGTGAGTTCCAGGGCAGCCAGGATTTCTTTGTAATACAGGGGGAAAGAGCTGAAACATCAAACAACATGGTTTGGTTGAAATATTTCGGTACAACATTAATGAAAACATTAAAAATAATGTAGAAGGCCTACGATTCAGCTCAGTGGTAGAGTTCTTGTCCAGCACACATCACATCTTTGGCTTGATGCCCAAAACCCCAAGGTTAAATAAAAGTAAAAACAATGTTGACGCTTGTGATAGTGAGTGTTAACTGTCAACTTGACTGACTCTAGCATCACCTGGGAGCGGGGTCCCAGAGCATGCCCATGAGGAGTTATTGATTGTGACATGGAAAGACCCATCTTCATTGTGGATGGGACTATTTCCTGGGCAGGGAATTCTGGACTGTATAAAATGGGGAGAAACAAAATGAGCACTGCATTCAGCCCTCTCTAGTTTGTTTGTGTTTTTAAGATTGATTTATTATATATACAGTATTCTGTCTGCATGTGTGCCTGCATACCAGAAGAAAGCACCAGATCTCATAGATGGTTATGAGCCATCATGTGGTTGCTGGGGATTGAACTCAGGTCCTCTAGAAGAGCAGCCAGTGCTCTTAACTTTGAGCCATCTCTCCAGGCTTCCTCTCTAGTTCCTAATTAGGGATTCAATGTGACCAGCTGCTTCAAGCTCTTGCTAACTTGACTCCCTGTCTTCGGTGGACCTTGAACAGTAAACTAAAATGTACATTATTTTATCACAGCAACAGAGAAAAAAAACTTAGATAACTGTCTGCTTGTGATACACACACACACACACACACAGTGTAGGTATAGTGCTGTGAGATTTTTTTTTTAGAGAGAAGGTCACTCTATATAGCCCTGGCTGTCCTAGAACTTGATATGATAGACCAGATGGCCTGGAGCTCATAGAGATTCACCTGCCTCTGCCTCCCAAATGCTAGGATCAAAAGCATTTGCCAACACACCCCAATGTATGCTGTGAAATTTTTAACATGTAGAAAACTCTTCAACAAATAGTAAAAAAGCAAAGTTATTAAAGATTATACTAAATGATTAATTTTGTCTAAATGTATGAATATGTGAATATGAATAAAATAGACTAGTGCATGATATACACCTAAGTGTTATCAATAGCTATCTCTAGGTGGCACAATTAATTGCATATGTGTGTGTGTGTGTGTGTGTGTGTGTGTGTTATTAATGGTTATTGATTTTTCTATGAGGAAAAATGTCATTATGAAACATGACACAATCATGCTTATTTTTTCCATGCCATATCACTGGTAGACAGTCTAGCTCTCTCATCGCCACACAGGGTTAGGGACTGATTGGTTTTGCCTGCCAATGCTTTAGTATTCACAGAGAACATTGTCTTTTAAAAGACTGTAACTTTCTATAGTAAGAAATTACCAATACGGAGTCAGGTAGAAATATAAGGGTATTTAATAGGGAAAAGCCTTACTTACAGAGCGAACCAGCCAGCCGGTGGTAGTCTGTACAGCAAGAAGCAAAGAGAAACCGAAACCGAAAACGCAGTCCCCCTACTCACTCTGACCACGCCCTCACAAGCCCTCAGGTACTCTTGTAGCCAGCCCCTAAGAAGAAGTGGCTACAGCTTCCCCTACAACTTTCATGTAATGCTTGTGACTCAGGAAGTAACTGAGGAAGATACTGTTAGGTATGAAATTCTTTCAGCATAGTACCTAGAGCATAGCACATTTCAAACTAGA